ATTGTAAATATACTTTTTAAAATAAAAAACAATATTTATTTATAACAATATGACAGTACATAATATATTCTTACACATTTTACATTAAGGGATAAGTACATAATAAATAATAATACATTGAAGGTTTAGAATAGTTAATAAGTGGATACAAAAACATAATATTTCTAACAATTTTTAGATTAGTTAATAAGTAAATATGTATTATGTTTATGAAAATATACATAGGGTAAGCGTATTATAATCATATTGAATATTTATGGAGGTACCTTTACTAAATTTTATAAATAATACTTTTTATATTTACGTACGCAATGTTTATACACGGGTGTACCATTTAATTTATCAAAAATGTCCTAGTAGTTTTCACAAGCGTCGGGAAAAACAACATAAAAATTAAGGAAAAACGGGAATTTTTACGTAAAATCGGTTTTCCAAAAAATCGATTTTGGTTATTGGTGTAACTCTAAAACAAATGAACGTATATACATGAAATTTTCACTGGTTGTTTATATTTGCATTTTATATACACGATAACATTTTCAAAATATTTTGATTTATTTTGAACTGTTTAGGGACATTTTCGTTTTCCATTTGTTTTTAGTTTTTTTTCTAAAAATATCAATAAAATTTTATTTGTTGGTTGCGAAAGCTTGAAAATTTAATAGAAGGCTCCTATAGTATATTGTTTCAAAGGCAAATGAAAAATATTAAAAATCCTTAGTCACAGCTTTTTTTTTTATAAGCATTTAAAGTTCAAAAATTGACAAAATATGGAAAAATAACGAAAATTAGCAAATTTTTTTGAGTTAAGAATTCGTAAAAAATTTTCTTTTTAAATCTAAGATTTGAAAATTTAATACAAGATTACTCATAAGTTTGTCTACCTTTATCAATAAAAAAATCTCTACCGGAAAGTCAAATTAAATTTTAATGAGCGTTTGAAATTCAAATTTTTACAACATTGGATGTTCACTCGATTTCTCATGTAGCGATTTCCTTATTTTGTTGTAATTCAAAAACAAATAACTGTAGATACATGAAAATTTCACTGAATGTTTATATTAGCATTTCCTATACAATATACAATTTTGAAAATATTTTGACTCTTTTTGAGCTGTTTATGGACATTTACAGCTTTCAATTTGTTTTTAGTTTTTTTTTCTATAAATATCAATAAAGTTTTATCTGTTGGGCCAAAAAGTATAAAAATTGAATACAAGGCTCCTGATATATTGTTACAATATCAGTTGAAAAAAATTAAAAATACATAGGAAAATTTTTTTTTTATAAGCATTTAAAGATCAAATTTTAACAAAATTTATCAAAATCTCGAAAATAATCAATCATTGTAAATAATAAATTATAAAATGTTCAGTTTTTATAGCTAAGGATTGCAAATTCAACACAAAGGTTCTCGTAAATAGTTCATACTGTAACCAAAAAATCTAAAAAATATATGAACACAGTTATTTTTTACAGACATTTTAAATTCAAATTTGGACGAAATTACATATTAAAAAACCTAGAATAACTATTTTAGTTATTTTGTTGTGATTGAATAATATTATTCGTGGGTACTTAAAACTTCTAAAGTGTACTATTATATATCTATGATAGTATCACGGTTTTTGTTGATATATAACGCGTTATAATAGTACCTAATGGATATTGTGATATGATTAATTTGGAATTTATTATAGGTACCTATTATAGGTCAAATTTTGGTTTAGTACCATAGATGTGTATATAATATGTCTTATACCTAGACTGACATACCGTCTCCGCTCAGAATCGTTTTTCTTATACAATGATATTATATCGTTGAATTCAAATTTAATATCATCCATTATACAGTTACCCACTTGCCCACCTTTTTTTATTTATTTATTTTTGTGTCTGTGTACACGATAAGTATTCGAAATAATGCTTAGATTTTCAACTTCAGTATCTTGTTCGATGGGAAAGTGAATATTGTTGGTGCATTGTGGAGATAAAAACGGGAGTTTATACGCAAAACTGGTTTTCCAAAAAATCGATTTTGGTTTTTGGTCTAACTCTAAAACAAATGAACGTTTATACATGAAAATTTCACCGGTTGTTTATATTTGCATTTTCTATACACGATAAAATGTTCAACTGTTTAGGAACATTTTCATTATCTATTTTTTTTTAGTTTTTTTTTTCTAGAAATATGAATAACATTTTATTTGTTAGTTAAAAGAGCTTGAAAATTTAATAGAAGGCTCCTAGTATATTGTTTCAAAGGCAAATGAAAAATATTAAAAATCCTTAGTCACAGCTTTTTTTTTTATAAGCATTTAAAGTTCAAAAATTGACAAAATATGGAAAAATAACGAAAATAAGCAAATTATTTTGAGTTAAGAATTCGTAAAAAATTTTCTTTTTAAATCTAAGATTTGAAAATTTAATACAAGATTACTCATAAGTTTGTCTACCTTTATCAATAAAAAAATCTCTACCGGAAAGTCAAATTAAATTTTTATGAGCGTTGAAATTCAAATTTTTACAACATTGGATGTTCACTCGATTTCTCATGTAGCGATTTCCTTATTTTGTTGTAGTTCAAAAACGAATAACTGTAGATACATGAAAATTTCACTGAATGTTTATATTAGCATTTCCTATACACCATACAATTTTGAAAATATTTTGACTCTTTTTCAGCTGTTTATGGACATTTACAGCTTTCAATTTTTTTAGTTTTTTTTTTTTATAAATATCAATAAAGTTTTATCTGTTGGGCCAAAAAGTGTAAAAATGTAATACAAGACTCCTGATATATTGTCACAATATCAGTTGAAAAACATTGAAAATACATAGGCACAATTTTTTTTATAAGCATTTAAAGTTGGAATTTTGACAAAATGTATCAAATTTAAAATTTAATAATTATTTTGTATTTAAAAATTTATAAAATCTAGGGATTAAAAATTTAAAACAAGATTCCACGTAATTAGTTAATTCTGTTACCAAGAAATCTAAAAAATAGTAAATACACAAGCACTGTTTATTTTTATAGTCATTTTAAGTTCAAATTTGGACAAAATTACATAATAAAAAACCTAGAATTACTATTTTAATTATTTTGTTTGATTGTATAATATTATTGGTGGGTACTTTAAACTTCTAAAGTATTTACACTATTATGTATCTATGTTAGTATCAGGGTTTGTTGCTGATGTATAACGCGTTATAAGTAGGTACCTAATGGATATTGTAATATGATTAATTTGGAATTTATTATATAGGTATCTATTATAGGTCAATTTTTTTAATACCATAGATAAGTATATAATAATATGTCTTATACCTAGACTGTCATACCGTCTCCGCTCAGAATCGTTTATCCTATACAATGATATTATATCATTGAATTCAAATTTAATACCACCTATTATACAGTGACCCACTTGCAACCTACTGTACGGCAGAGCACCTTTTTAATATTGAATATATTCAAAAATATCTAAAATATGAAAAATATCCTCAGACCGATGCAAAGTTGACTTGTTGACCAATTAAAAAACATCTTTATATTTTTTTAATCGAACCACTAGAAGTACTTTAATTTTTGTCAGTCGCTAGGGTCGTTTTGATGAAAAATTAATAGTGTTTACAGGGGCCTTAAGAGGATGTCTCATTCGTATGCGTCTCATCCGTCTTACAAATGCGTATACCTAATATGGAATATTTATGGTCAGTAACACTCGTTTAAATTGAGTTCAGTTTTAATTGAGTAGACTTACCTATTAATACACTTTAAGGTAAAAAAATTGTCTGTGAATTGTTATGTTTGGGGTTTTTTTATTCTGAGCGGCATTTGGCTCTAATTGTTGGGGGGACAAAAATCAGAATTTACTAATCCATTTAAAATGATAACTATATGCTCTCTCAATATTTTTTCTGGTGACCAATCTCGTGACCCCTCCAAAATACCGCCTATATATCTATATTCATGTAAAATATTACAATTTAAAAATGTTCATAACTCGCTTCAAAATTAAATTAGGTATCGAAAAATGTGAAATTTGTTAAATATATAAAAGATTTATTAATTATTGTGATTTGTAAAAAATCATATTTGTTTTCCAAATTACCATTTACAAATTATTGTACAATGTACATGTAATATCAATATAAGAATAAGTAAAACACTAAAAACTTAATACGACATGTTGGTGAGTAATTAATACTATACTATGTCATTATGGTATAGTAATACTTTAATCACATTGTAGCAAATATAGCAATATGCATCGATCGGATTCTATGCAGATGTTGTAACTTGTAAATTGTAAAGGTTATATAACTGCAATAAAATAAAGTTTTTCTAAATAAATTCAAATTTTAGTTTATTCATTTGGAATTTGATATTATATCATAGATAGGCAATATTTCAAAGAATAATTAATTTTGGGGGGCTGAGCCCCTCCAGACTGGTAGTCTGGTGCCTCCCTATTATGCACGTAATATACCTAACTAATATACATTACGTGTTAACAAACTAAGACACAACGTGCGTCCATCCAACAAACGTCGTCATCAGAACACATGCCGTCGAGCGTGTACACGAGCTAGTTACGAAATAATACGAACGTCGACGACGTCAAGGTGAACGAACGTTCCACCACTTTGACGGGCAAGACGACGAAGTATATATTTACAATATTATTATTATACGTGTTATTATCGCAGTACAAAATATTATTATTATAATATTATATACGTATAGGTAGTAGGTACATAATGTATACCTCTATACGCGCGTATTATATACAACATGTACATAATATTAAATTATTATTATTGTTATTATTTTTGCTCCAAGTCTGCTCGAGCGATGACGGTAGCGGAGTGGTGGTCGGCGATGGCGTGATTTTTTACTATATCGGTATACCGCCGGTACCGGTTTTCTCACTGACTGCTTTAATAGTAATAATAATAATAATTTCATACGCACTACCGCAACATTCGGCACGATGAATTATTATAGCCGCAACAGTCGCAACAGGTGCCCGTCGCAGAGCAGTCGCAGCATTACTCGCGCGACACGTCGCACAGAGCCACAAATACAGGATTCAAGTAAGACGACGACGACGACTACGACCACCGATAGTACACGGCCGTAAAAATAATATCGTATACGATATCGTATTGCTGTGGTTCCATACTGCAGCAGACGATCGTTATAGTATAAAATATAATATTACCATCGTTATTGTATACGCCGCGTAATATCGCGTACGATCGTCGATCGTGTACTCCGAACACCGTGTGTGGTACATCGACGGGAAAAGTGTTGAGAGGGTGCGTTTGATTAATATTATTATTGGGTTTCCGCGATTACACGGCCGGTTTTCCAAGTCGCGAGTGTGCCGACCGCGTAGCCCCCGAACCAGCACCCTTACGATAATAATATCACCTAGGCATTGAAATCATCGACATCATCATGATCGATTCCACTTCGGCAGACTGTTGCGTTTTCGCCAAGGAGTCCCTGTCCGTGGAGGGGTACATGGCGTCTCCGCCCGCAGTGCACCAGAGGACCAACAGCCAGTTAAAGGTCAGTATCCACCATCGTATATTAATATAATAGTCATATTTGTACATATTTTATATTACACAATATTATTTTACGTACCGGTGGCGCACCGAAAGGGATGCACTCCGGACCCCCTCCCTGTCAAATATCAAATTCATCAACAATCAAAAGTTTTGATTATGTCTAAGTGTTGCATTTTTTGATTGATTGGATAGTTGACATGTTTATTGTGCAAAATATTGTTTATATTACTTTAATAATAAATTTGTAGTCCTTGGACCCGCGCTCATATAAAATCTTGGTGGACTGGTTGTACTAATATTAGATAATAATATATACTTGTATACATATAGGTATACATATCGTGATTATTCATAAGACGGTAAATACGTGCTGGACAATTTTTTTCCGAATTTACCGGTTTCTGTTGGATTGAATGAGTCTGTCTGTGCCATTTTTGACGATTGTAATATATGACCTTTAGGTAAAGCTATTTCCAATGTTTGTACTTACATTTTAATGTAAACATTAGTTAAATTATTAAATATTTCAATAGTTAATAAGAAATTAATAATTTTTAGTAAATGCCTTGGGTGTTGAAAACTAAAAATAAAAACGATTTCTACTCATCTCAACAACTCGATAATATGATTACAGGAAAAAAATTAAATACTAAAAAGATCAACACTCTAGAGTGACGAATGAAAAATATGTTTTAAAAATTGGAAATTAATTCGCTAACTTAAACCTTCATTTTATTTCTTAAAACTCTACAGGATAAAGCACGATCAAAGGTAAAATTAAAATCGTCGGAATCAATAGTAATTGCGGAAATGGCACCTCTGCGATATATCATGACACCAGTTCGACATCTGCATAATATTATGTAGATTCGTATTATAGTATAGGTTAGTCGAGTATATATTTAAAATATCAAACCGTTGAACCTGTACATACGAGCTGATAATATTTTATTATATTATTTTAAATGTATGCGTTGGACGTTTGATGATGAATTAGTCCCGAGATCGATAAACGAAGAAAATATCGAAGGGCCGTATAGGTATATCGTATGCTTAAAAAACACGCCAGCTAATGGTTGTAAGCATCGAGCTGCAGCCTGCAGGTAACTTAAACGCTAGGTATAAGAGTGCAAGCAGACACTCGATATATTTAGGTAGGTAGGTATAGATATGATTGACGGAGGAAGGCAACAATATTATATTGTTACTATTTTATATTTTTATGTCTTATTTCCAAATTATTTCTTGATTATTTCTTTTTTTTATGCGTCGAAAGTAAAACTTAATAATATAATATGATTGAAATATAAGTAATCAACCTTACGTCATATACACAATCGTATGGATAGGAAACGTATATTTTCGGTTGTTATTTTACGCCATAATAATTTATTAAAATGTACACGTAAATATCGTATATATTATACAAATTATACAGATCGGGTGACAAAAAACTCAATGTATAAAATAGCCATGCACGAGCGATAGTTGATTTTTAATTTTTTATAGCAATAACCTCACTTATTTATTTCACGAACAAACGAACAGTTCCCATTTCCGTCTAAAATATAACCTTTCCAGTTTTTTGGCTGCTGTACCTATCATTTTCGTTAATTATAATAAATTATTTGGCAATATCTTATGTACTATAATAACTTTTTGTCAGAAACAAATACTGTTCAGTCACAGTTTTTGTTTTTTTTTTTTATATTAGTACCTAAGTAAATATAATGATGCAATAATAATTATTGAATGTATTTATTTTTTACACTGGATTTTACATCATAATTTTTAAATAAAATTTTAAAAGTAAACAGCAGTGTGCGCTTTTGTATACCAGTGCAGTGTATCGGTATATTATTATAAATACATTGTACTTATTTCATAATTTTTAACTTCAAAACATCGATCTATTTTAGCTTATCAAAAATTTTCACAAATAATCACAATAATTAGAACTTAGAAGTAGGTATCATATATCAATATAATATGTATTATGTTTTGAAAGTCTATAGTAAAGTTGCATTGTAAAGTAGTTAATACGCACCCGTTTATGTACCTAACTATTGTAAAGGAATAATAATATTATGTACTATACAGGTCGAGCTCACCAAACCTATAGCATAATAAGGGACTAAATCCGTATATTTTTTGGCTAAAAATGTTGACTTGCATCACAGAAACACTTTATAGTTTCTTCAGCGTTTTTTCATCACATCGTATGCACAAAACGTACGTCCCCGCAGGCCAAATATTCATCTGCGAGGTCGTACATATATATAATATATATATATTATCTATGATATACCTATATAATACTGATTAGTGTGTGCGTCCTCGGGGCTTATAAGACTCTCGAATATTATATACTATGTATCTATATATTTTATCAGGCGACGACGAGCATACCTATAATGCACATAATATAATTATTATTAAATATAATATTATAAATAAGCCAACCTATGCGTATAATATAAATTATAATATTATTGCTGCAGTGGGGCACTGGACAAGACAAATAATAATATGATTATTTATATTATACGAATTATATGTACTGCGTGAAGGCCTAGTTTGTTCTGATCATTGGAGTCATTATTGGTGTATTATTATATTAGACTCGGGGTATAAGGGGAAATGTCGAATAAAAAAAACTGCAGTAGCATAATATTTATACAAGAATAAATTCAACAAATTTTCCATTGTCTAGAGGGGACGGGTAAAAATTCAACACCATCTCACTACATTATACGCCAAAATATAGGTTTTAGCACATTTGAAGGCTCCCGTTTTACAAAAGTGTAAATTTTGAAACTATTCCCTTACGGAGCCGTTTGGTTATTATATTATTCTTGCATATCTATCAAATATAATATGTATAAATTGCATTATTTCGACTTAAGCCTATAGGTACATAATATAATATATATAAATTATAATTGTGTAAACTGCATTTAACGAAGTGGGTATTTATTTATATGTTATAAAATTAATGCAAATAACCTAATCCTGCTAACTAGCTCACATATCATAATTTTTTTTTGTCAATCTAAATGGTTGCAATTCGTAACAATGTTACATATTGTATTAAATATTAATATTATAATTAGAAGAAATATGGTATATACATTTTGTACAAATGTATATTTATAAAAAATACAAATCTTTGGCCTGGACAATGTCGGGCGCTGACAGCTAGTTTATTTATACGATATGTTATAAGATTAACGCAAATAACCTAATCCTAAAGTTCTCGTGTGTTCGTTCACAAATAGTATTTGTTTACTATTAGGTAGGTATATATTATATAGAGTGTATTATATCATATTGTTATGCTACTATATTATGGTCGTTACTGCATATTATATAATATTATATTGTACCTACCGCCTACGCACTAATGTTTAAAATAATCGAAATTGACTAAACAAACGCCGTTGTACCTATTATATTCACACGAATCCGATTGTATTATATTAACGTGCCACGATAATTATAATATAATTATTAATTTACCAATCACAATTTGTACAAATGTGATACATATTTTAATTTACCTACATGTTTATATTATAAATTATAATAGGCACATTCTACACACTATAAACATAATATGCTGCAGCGAGTGTTATAATTATAACTATGCTTTTCTATACGAAAAATACTTGTACAAGGGTACCTAAACTATTACTACCTATATGATTATATATAGGTGGGATATGAGTGCTATAATACACGTGACCTATATTTATATAAACGGTATATATATATTTTACAGTAATAAATATTACACCTATTAATACCTGTATATTGCTATATACCTCTATATGTATATGTGATGTTGCCGATTGATTTCGATCGAAAATGGCCAATAGATCGTAGTTATGTTGTAAATTATTTCACAAATGTAACAATAATAATTGTCTTTAAAACTATTATACACGTGCCGTTATATTATTATTACATAATTTTATTTATGTTTTTTTTCTTCTTTACGAAACCCACTGACGCCTAAGGGTTATAATATTTTAAACATATATTTATTATTTTAGAGATTTGTACCGAATCATATTCTTTTCTCTCCTCGCATCACGGACCAGTTCGCTCCAACGGTTAATTATGTCATAATTGGGAAACGATACACATCGAATGAGAAATGTGTGAATAATGACCTATTAAAAAAGTAAGAGAATAACAAAGTATGACTATCGTCGAGAATCATGGATATGTACAGTTTCCAGGGAGAATTATTTCCGAAGGAGAATATTATTTAAGAATTTCATATACATAAGTATTACGATACTATAAATGATGTACCAAATGAACACCACCGGGCACTGGCCACTATATTATAGGTTCATGGCGCATTTATTACGCACTTGTGTATGTAAGATGTCTTCTGCATCAATATTTTATAATAGGTCTAGGTTAAAAGTATACGAGTGGTTTGCTACAGATGACCATCGATATGCGAAGTAAGTATATAACACACAATATATATATAATATCATTCACGTACAAAACATTACTGAAGATCTTGAAGTCTAAATATACCTTTTAGATAATTTAGAGGCCTTGACCTTGAGATCCTTGAAATTCCTCTGTGTAATATTTGAACAAAAAAATAATCGGCAACAGTAGAACATAATATTGATATTTTCAAGAAAAGAAAATATATTTAACAAGTGTACTTAAAACATATTCTGCAATATTATATAGACTCGAATAGGTGTTTTTTCATAATATCGCAAATTATACTATCTTCAAATCCATTCAAAATGTTGACATACCAACAGTCAGTGGCTGAATCAGGGCCATCGAGGGAGGAATTAAGGGGGTAGTATATAATATACAAATCTATGTTTTGACATAATTCGTCTTATCTTTTCCGAATTTTCTAAAAATCATTTAAGTTATCCTGGCCATGTACTATAGCAGTTATAGGTGCACAAATTCTTAGTAACACTGTTTATTGCTATTATTATAAATCAATAG